ACCCTTAGAGACCACGGACCCTTCATCAGGTTCCCCAGCAGACTCTAAACATCTCATCACAGTTAATGGCTATGAGCGAGACTCAGAGACAAGGCCTGGCTTCTTTAATTAAGATCAAATTGCTTCCATGTGGACATTACTGATGTTCTCTGCCTGGTGATTAAACTAAGAATAGTCCTTTTGTCTAAAGACAGGAACTAGACTTAGAGAAGGTTCAGGCTACCTGACATTGGAGGCCAAAGTCCCGCATCTGTGGTCAGCAGAAAGCCAGGACGGGCCGGGGAAAGCCAGCCGGCTGTCTTGTTCTAATTTCAGCAAAGACCACCCACAGCCAGGAGAGACGCAGCCTCCTCCCAACCCCTCCTTCTCACCAGTGACAGATTCACAAGAATTCACACCCCTGGGGCGCCTGGGGCCTATCAGAGGAGCCCTTTGCTCTCACCAGACCTGTGAAGCTGGCAGGACAACTATTATCATGCCCATTTTACAGGTGAAGACCTGAAGCACTCGGGTCATGGGGCTAGGAAATGCCTCAGCTGGGAGCAGAACCTCCAGGTCCAGGGCTCCTTCCATGACACAATGCCATCGCCCAGATGTGAAAGCCCCCGTGAGTCATGGTGATAATAAGGGGCAGCTCCCATGGCTGAACTTCTTTGGGGATAACCCATGAAATGCCTGGAACCCGGGGGGGGTGGGCAACATTCATCCCAGCCCCCAGCCCCATGCTTGGAGCAAGGCTGATGTTTGCAGAAAGGCAAGTGATTAGGAGTCAGATGTGGGCTCCACTGGCTGGGGGCATCCGCAGAGAGGGCGAGCTCAATGAGCCACGTGTTCCCCAGTCCCATGTGCCTCAGAGGGCCTCCCGTCTAACCTCAGAAACCCTTTCACAAGAGACCCAACAGCCTTTGCTTGGAGGCCTCCACTGAGGGGAAACTCACTCCCTACCTCCACAGGCACCCCACCCCACTTTGGACAGCTCTCACCCTTAGGTTTTGCTGACACAGAGCTGAAGCCTGCCTCTCTGCCAACTTACTTCTGCCCATCATTCCTAGGTCAGCCCTCTGTGGCCAAGCGAAGCAAGCCGAGACCATCTTCCATGGAAGTCTCAGAAATATTTACAGACACCTAGATCTTCTCTGCCCCAAAATTCCTCCTCCAGGGGATAATGTGAGAATAGCAGACCACGGCAGACTTCTGAAGGTTTCCAAAGGGCTTCCCAGCCGTCCTTTCATTGAGGAGGAGGAATTCTGGGAGAGACGGATGTGGACTGGGGGAGGAGAGCAGGAGGCCTTCATGGAGGAGGGGTCCGCAGGAAGTTCTGCCAGCTTGCAAGTGCCCTCAAAATATCAGTGCCTAGGATGCTGGTTATTACTCAGCTAAGTCTGAATGTGGCCATTCTCACCACCTTTACAGTATGTGTCGTCTCATATCACAACGACACGCCCACATTCATAAACCACTGCAAAGTCCAGGGCACCTGGTGGGTGGTGGAGTCACAGTGGGTGTGACCCAGAGTGACCAATGGGTAGGAGGTGAGGACAGGCAGACCCAGGGGTGGAGGGGGATTGGTGCCAGGAAAGGTGATCTGCACCCACTCGGTCACTGACTAGCTGGATGACCCTGGCCAAGTCGCGTCACCTGCCTCGGTGTCCTGATCTGTAAAACAGGGATAATGATAGCACCGCACCTGGCCCCCAGGGCTGTTGTGAGGATCAAATGAGACAATGCATGTAAAGGGCTTTCCAAAATTAAAGTGCTTTAAAAATCTGAGCTGTTGTGATTCTCCTTACATTATTATTAATTATTATACCAGTGGAGGGCGGTTCCACAGCTCTGAGAGCAGACATCTACTAAAGAAAATGCCCATGACAGCTCATGGTCCTTCCTTAATTAGACCCCAGGCCCCTGGCAAGAAGGAGCCTTGCTGACCACCATCTCTGTGTCCCTGGGGCCTCGTGGGCACTGTGAGGTGCATGGTGGGCAAATGTAATAAACAGATGTTCATGGGGAGGGAAGGAGAGGCAGATGGAGGAGGGGGGAAGGGAGAGGGGCAGGAGGAGGAGAGTATTTCAGACTCCAGGAGGCGAAGCTCCCCCCAGCCCACTTCCTCCTCCAGCTGTCTCACAATGCACACACACAGCCCAGGACCACACCAGGGTGTTTGCTCAGCCATTGGCTTTGGCCTCGGTCAGTCCACCAGGTGACCTCAGGATCAAGTCCTTCCAGTCTGGAAAAGCACAGCCCGGCTTTCCTCATGACTGTGTTTGGCCATCTGTGCAACTGCTTCCTCTTTCTTGTTTCCAACACAGTACTTTCAAAAATACTTTTCTTGGTAAAGTTTCTAAAATTATTTCTTTTTGCAGAGAAACCCCCCCACGAGAAATAGCCCAAGTATGCCCCCCGTGAGGAGGCCCCAAGCCCCTCATAGGTGCCAGACAGCGGATTCTAAGTCCTCCGAGATGGCGGGGATGGCGACAAGTTTTATTCGCCTCCACTTTCCTTACTTGCTTTTCGCATAACAGAAGGAACAGCAGACCCATGGAACATGTCTCTACATAATTCATATGCCACCTTTCAAAGGCAAAGGCAATGTTTACGCTCCAGAGGGAAGCAGGAAGGTCATAGAGAGAAGCCAGGTAGAGAGGCCAAGACTGAGTGACGGGTGGCTTGGAGACGTGTCCAAGATGAAGAAGATGGCGGTGACGGGGGCCAGGTCAGGCCAGAGCTCAGAAGCTCAGCCTGGGCCAGAGGGGCCAATGGCGGCCCCCTCCTCCATCCTCCTCCCTCTCTCACAGGGTCCAAGGACCAAACTAGCCTAGGAGAGGGATGGGACGACAGGGGAAAGGCAATGCTATAGGGTGGGGATCGAGCCAGGGGTCCCAGCCTCCGCTGCTAGACTGAGCCGGACGAGAATTATTATCATCATCATCAAATATGAGAACAGCCAGCATAAATCTAGCCCTGAGAGGTTTACAAAGCACTTTGGATGAGTCATCCCATTTGATTCCTCACAAGAGCTCACTGAAGTGCATGCTATTGTTATCTTCATTTTACACGTGAGGAGACTGAGCCAGACGGGTTAAGTGACTTGCCCAGGGTCACACAGCTAGTGTCCAGGGAAGATTTGAGCTCACATCTTCCTGACTGAGCAGGGCAGAGTCAGGCTTATCCATAGCCTGCAGGAGAGATCAAAGGATCCTTAGGATTTAAACACCAGACCTCTAGCCAACCTGGTTGGCCCCCTGTGGAAATTATCAACTCCCTTCCTAGACTGGGCTGCCCAGAACTGAATACGACCCTTGAGACAGGTGTGGCCAGGGCACATGGCAGCGGGACCGCCTCCCTCCCTGGTCCTGGCCTCTCTGCTTCTCTAAATGAGACCTAACAATAATGACCACAAGGATAAAGATAATTTAAATGACGATTATTAGCATTTCAGTAGTGCCTTACGGTTGGCACGATGCTTTACAAACATTATTTCGTGGGATCCTCACAATAACCTTGGGAGGTAGGGGCTATTATCATCCCCATTTTACTGATGAGGAAACTGAGGCAGACAAGTTGCTTGCCCAGGGTCTTACCGCTAGTCAGTTATCTCAGGCTGAGCTTTAACCTGGTCTTCCTTTGGTTGGGTCAAATGGTGCTTCCATTCATTAAAGCCCCTGATCCACCCTCCACTCCCACCCCTCTTCCTAGTGTTTACTGGTGAAGCAAACTTTTTTTTTAACTTGAGCTTAACTTTATGGTTATTGCTATTAAACAACTTATTTCATTTGGTCTCGTTTTCAAGTTTATGTTGAGACCTTTGTGATTCTGTGCATTGCTCAAGGACTCAGCCATCTGTCTGTCCATCTGTCTGTCTATCTATCTACCTGTCTATCTATCTATCTATCTATCTATCTATCTATCTATCTATCTATCTATC